TATTACATCCAACAACAGAACACCTCAATCGCTTAGGAGTCATTCTTGTCTACAACTGCTCCAGCGGTGAAACAATGGCGGACTGATGACAGCTCACTCAGGGCGGGTCTAAGGTAAGACGCCAGTCCAGTCTGTGCTGAAACGCAACTGTCAATCAAACTATCGTGGGAGGGTCCTGTCTGTGTGACGTCACACAGGCAGGCATCTGAGATCGGCTCGATTTGAGAGGGGTAAAGATTTCAGTAGATTAACAAAAAACCACTGGGTGGATTTTTATAATTTTAGGGTGGTTGTGTACACACTGCCAACACACATTTCAGTTCAAACAACTTGTAAAAGTGCATGTAGCATTATGACCCCTTTAACAAAACAAATAAAAATACACCATGCTATAGGGCAGGCTATGCCTAATATAAAATAACATATAACTTACATAAAGTTTAAATAGGTAGCCTATACAAACCTGGAAATAAGTAAACATGTATAGTATATAACCAAATAAATAAGAAACGTAGAAAGTTTATTAGCAAAACGAATAAGAAAGCTTGGCATACACCTTGATGTAAAATAAAGTAAATAAATGACACAAAGTTTAAATAAAGTAAAAATCTGCAAACACTGTGGAACCATTTAAATAAGAAACGAATGTTTAAAAAAACTTCGAATAACAGCAGAAGTCAACAGGCTTTTCAAAATCCACGATCATCCGCAAACTAAACTAAATTGACAAAACTAAATCATCCGCGATCGTCTTGTCTGTCTCACCCCACTCTTCTTGTGAGTCAGCTCGTCTCACTCTCCTGGATATATGAAATCTGATCTGTGATGGGACTGTCGTTCGGCACGCTGCATTGAGCAGCCGCGTTCAGTTTTTAATTGAAGTGTTTGTTCTTTTAATGAACTAAATGATTTTTATTACTATAAAAAAATCAAAACAACAGTGGGGGTCGGTGCTGCGGTGGGCTAGTGACTTAACCGGTGTTGCGGCTTAACAACGGTATCACCGTCAGCACCGACTATCGTGGCAAGCCTAGTCGATAGCCTGTTTTTCAATTTATTGCAATTAAAGGCATTTAATCATTCATAGGTGAGGGTGTCACAAGCAACATTTTACGAATCCCACAGTTTGTCTCCAAAATCGTACAGTGTGCATTGGGCTTAAGTCAGCTAAGGAGCCAAAAGCTTATGTAGCTATTATAAATTCAGCTGACAACAATGCCAGAAAACAAGAGACTGTGTGCCTCAAGTCAACAAACAGTAAGAAAGGTCTAAAATTAGCCCTCCTTGGCATTGTGTTGTGAAAGAATATCGTAAGGTGGGAAGGAACGCAGTACATTCGTGGTGACAAATTAAATCACAGCCAAAGCTGGAGAGCTTGTTTTAAGACTAATGATACATAAAGTCTTCAGTGTGTTGTTTGGCCGGCAGCGACTCCATCATTCCCACGCAGAGCTGCATAAATGACGCTCAGCAGACAGACCCATGAGCCCAGCACCCTCCGCTTTACCTGCAGGCACAGTGAGCTCAGCCAGGACATATTGGATAGGCCTTGAAAAATTTCTGAGGAGGAACTCATTATATAGGAGAACATTGCTGATGTCTACATATGGAGCAAGGACACATCATCTTTTGTCTGTTCAAAGGGTTTTAACGCAAATCTGGTAACCTTTAAATGTCTGCATCATCCCAACGCAAAAACAAAGCTGCTAAAAGTGTCAACAAGTCCGGCTGCCTGTCTCTACGTTCCACTCTTAATTGGATTGTTTGGGAGATTCATGGAGGAGATTTCTAGGACAGGGAAGTTTGAGGTGGCGATACCGGATAACGAGAGGAGAAAAACATCTACAAATGCTAATGAGTATATGCATTCACACATTTTTCAGAGTTTTCTCAAAAAAAACCTGCTCTAACTTGACACCATCTTATAAAATATAAACCTGCCTTGCGGCGCAACTGATCTAGAGCTCAGCTGTCCTCATTGTTTTATATTTCATCAATACCCAGCAGGGCGTCCATATATCCAGTTGGATGGTACACTTTTTGCCCTTTCACGGAAACCAGCTTGGCACTCACTTGCACCTATCAATATTAATCACTGATCCATGGCAGATCCAATCCCCTGGAAATCAAATAATGCTGACTGACCTCTCATACTCATAGACTAAACTCGCAGACCCGGTCAGTGGTGTAGCACAAATCTTGAGAGACCCTCCCACAAGAATGGGATGTCAAGAACAAATGCAATAGTACCTCTGACGGAGACAGACAGTTCTGTTCTTTTGGGCAATTTAGTAAAGACAAAATATAACTGCACACTCACGGAAGCGTTTTATTATTACCAATGTTTCAGCAATTTACAATCATTTTATATTATATTTATATGATTAAATATATTTGTAAGGGTACATTACCATTTAAACACATTACAAGCACCGCATAAAATGATAATAATTATAATGCATTTTATTTGTGCATTATATTCCAAGTCTATGTAATTGAGTACTTTATGCTTATTTTTTTTATTATTATATATATTATATTATATTAATGTTAATATTATACCAAAATCTTTCTACTGTACTCTACATTTTCTATATATTTTTGTTAAGAAGCAGTTAGGGTGAGGTTAGGAAAGTAAAAATATCTTTATAATAGTAAGAAGTACACTAGTGTTCAAAGGTTTGGGGTTGGTAAGATTTTTTTTATGATTTATTTGATCAAAAAACAGTAATATTTGATCAAAACACAGTCATATTTTTCATATTTTAATTTTCAGCATCATTACTCCAGTCTTCAGTTTCACATGATCCTTCAGAAATCATTCTAATATGCTGAATTGGTACTCAAAAAACATTTATATGATTATCAATGTTGAAAACATTTGTGCGGTTTCATATTTTTGTGGAACCTGTAAACATTTTTTGTCAGGATTAGTTGAACAGAAAGTTCAAAAAGAACGGAACTTACTTAAAAAAACCTTTTGTAACATTATTAATGTCTACTGTCAGTTTGAATCAATGCAGCCTTTCTTAATATTAATTTCTTTCAAAAATATATTTAATAATTAAAATACAATATGAAAGATTTTGTAAAGATTTTTGAAGTTTCCATAGCTGTGTATATGTAAATACTGTTTTAGATACTATCAATACGTCTATATTGCATATTCAAACATAAAAAAAGTCTAAACACATATACTAATGAGAACAGGCTGCTTCATTACTTTCAAGCCTCTACTGTCCTAAACAAAAGTCCAAAAATAACATATGCTGCTTTTATGAAGTGTAAAATCAATGTTGATACCATAATACAATCGACCGTATGTAATACCATAATGCTGTGAGGTTGTCCCATATGCATTCATACAATATATCTACTTGTATGGCACACTTTTTTTGCCGTCACAGAAACCAGCTTGGCACTCACATTCACCCATCAATATTAATCACTGATCCACAGCAGCTCCAGCTCCCCTTGAGCCGACCCCTCACGCCTACAGACTAAACGCACAGGACCCAGGGTCATGTTTCGCCAGCCGTAGCCGTCCACGGGCCCTAAACACCAGACTGCATATCAGATAAAACACTGTGACTGTTTCAGATGTCTAGCAGGTCCCCTGAGCTCTCCTGTACTCACCGCGAGTGGATTACCCGCCGTGTCTGCTTGAAAGCAAGTTCTGCTCGAACGGTAATCCGAGGTTAAGACGGTTGCACCAATAAACTTCTTACATGCTTACTCTGCATGCAGAGAAGTTAGGCCCGGGAAAGAACACAAGAGAACGGCTTTTCCGAGCAAAAACCAGACATGACTTAGTTCAGCCTGATGATCACAGAACAGTCCTGAGCATAGATGATTCCTCTGAAAGGCTGACACTATCACGCTCCTACTCGCCGTGCATGACGATTTTACGAAAGAGGAGAAAGTGCAGCATCTGTTAAAGGTGCCACTATCGGTGCTTCCATTTAGCCATTTATTTTGTGTTATAAATGGCAATCATCTCTAAATGTCACCCCCTAAAGCTACTGAGCGTTTCGGCAAGACATTAAGGCTTAATTGATTTTTTTGATAGTAGAGTGCACGCTATCCTTTATCACTCTTTGCTAGCTCATCAAAAATGTATTACATTTCTATATAGCACCAATTACCTGCCATTGATTTATTTGCTGGGAATTCCTTGTCCTGAGCTTTCCTTTGCATGTTAAAAAACATGGATTGGTAGAGTATTTTTAAGAGCTCAAGAAAACCTCATTATGATCAGAATAAAACAGCTACTGGAAAATTGATAACGACAACTGATAACATTCATGAAAAAAAAAAGACTGTCGATACACTGACAAAAAATTTTGGTGTAAAAGTCATTTCCACTCAAGACATTGCTAGTAAATTTTGCACATAATTACAAAGAAATGGCAAGTAACGCATTGAATTAAACATCATTTTGAAGCATTTGAGCATTTTAAAGACTTAAAACAAAACAAAACAAAAAAAAATCAGCTGATTTGCAAAAAAATTAAATCAGTCAACAAAAAAAGAGTTATTCAAAATATACAATCTGCAAGGGAGCAGAAAAATATGTTCAAATACTCCATTTAATGTCAATAATGTCTACAAGTCTATAAATAAATGTTTTTCCTCACAAAATTTGTCATTTTCAGTTACTGTTTAGATGTATTAAAACACCAGATGTAGCAGAAAACATCTGGATCATGTTTGCATTTTCCTCTATTACTGGCCATAATTCTGAACTTGACATCAGGATAAGGCATAAAATAATGTCTTCAGAATCATTCATACTGTACCTGTGAAAATCAGCTGGAAATTGAACAAACAGTTGTAAGCAGGCTCAGAGAGTGATAGGAATCATGTCTTTGTAGCAGTTTTTCTGGTGATTAAGGGATAATTCAGGACTTGAGGATGATTAAATAATGATCCGTTCTGGGTGAATTGTCCCTTCAGTGGAAGCCTACAAAGAAGGCAATCCCAGAATGCACTGCGACAAGATCAGTGCAAAAAGTCGATTGAAAATGTTGTTTATTAATATATTTCAATAATGAGATGTATTGATAAAAATCAAATTTTGTGTACTGTCAGATTTCCTATTGAAAAGCAAATAAATAATTAAATCATAAAAAACATTCAAATAATTAAAAAAAAAAATTTTTTTTATTTATTTTAAATGAAATATTTAATATTTGTAGTATTTGATTTAGTACTCATTTTAACTAACTTATTTCAGATAAAGTATTTAATATTTGTAGTCATTTTAATTTTGATTAATTTTATTTAAAATTATATATAATTATATTATAATATATACATTTTTATATCAAATTATAAACAATCTATAATTTTATAATATTTTTATTTATTATTTGTTTTAAATATTTCTTGTTTTAGTTTGTTTTTATGTTAAAGCTATTTATTTATTTATTTTAACTAATTTAAAATAAAATATTTTATCTTTATAGTAATATTTAGACTTTTAAATTTAAAATTAGAATTAAGATTAATTATTTAGATTTTTTTTTAATTTAAGATTAATTATTTATTTCAATTTTGATTGATTTGATTGTTTTTATGCTAAAACTATTTATTTTAATTAAAAAACATATTTCATCTTTTTAGTAATTGTTTTATTTGGATTATTTTTAATATTGTTTCATTTATTCAAATTATTTATTTATTTATTTTAATTTATTTCAAATATAAATTTTTTTTACTAAGTGTTTTATTTCGATTGTATGTATTATTGCCTTATTTCTTTTTTGTATTAAATCTGATAAAAAATAAAACACTTACTAAAAAATGAAATATATTATTTGTTGACCTGCGTGTCCAGTGAACATTAAGAGAGCCCAAAGCTACTTTGAAGGGAAAAGGATCAATGCGGCATGAGTTACAGAACAAAACTGAAATCCTAGTGAAAGTCTTGATTAAGAGGGAAGCTCACAGCTGCTTTTGCCCCTCAGCACTAATCAAACTCAGTCTCCTGTTATATTTCTGGAAATCCCGGCTGGTTTTACAGGCTGAAGGTGGCGGTTTGGTGAGCTCAGTGTTTGTCTGATGCCTGTGAGAAACTACACACTCCACCTGACAGACTCAGAATAACCTGGTAATTGTGTGCGTTCCTCATTAATAGTGAAGGCTTTAGTCTTGTTTGGTTTGCTCAAAGCCTCTAACAGTGACATTTCAGGTGTTTATGCTGTTTTTGTCTCATAAAAATATTTAATATATATTTAACATTCAAAAATAGTTAGTACTTCAACAATTTAGTTTGTAATTTATTTCAAGCAAAATATTTCTTCTTTTGTGTTTTATTTTGATTCGTTTTAAATAAGTGTTTATTAACATTTTTCATTTTTCAAATAAAATATTGCATATTTTTTTAGTGAGCGTTTATTTTGATTGTTTTTGTTAAAAGCATTTCTTTATTGATTTTCATTTTTTATTTATGTAAAATAAAATATTGAGTCTTGTTTTTGTTTTCAGATTATTAATTTTTTTTATTCTGAATTTATTTGAAATATAAATTTTAAAGTCTTTATTGTCACTTTTAATAAATCTAATGCATATTTGCTAAATAAAAGTATTAATTTCTTTAAAAAAATCTTAATGACTCAAAACTTTTTAATGGCAATGTGTATCTCATTAAAAATAAATTACCCTATAGAGAAAATTATAGAATTTTCACTTTTGGAACCCAACTGTTGAGCTTTATACAGTGACTTAGCCTATGGTTTTTTAATCTTTGAAAATGACATAAAATGTTTTAGACTATCTGTTAATGTCTTTAATATTTGGTAAAATATTTGGCATTTTCCATATACTTCAATACAAGGTGTAAATGCACTAAAGAATGTCCAGATGTAAAGGGGGCCTAAGACAGACAATAGCTCATAAATATCCTTGATTGAAACAAAAAATGGCCTGTCATTTTGCTTTTACATGAAATTGCATGTCTGAATGTGAAGCATTTCCCTACAAAACAGTGTTATTGAAATAGCTGAAGGCAAATTGGCCAGCTATAGATATTTGATCAAATGTAATGCAAGAAACATGTAAAGAAAATGATGGGCTTACTACCTACAACAATATAATATTATGGCTTAAGTAATATAGAATTAGATGTCCAAGCAATAGTGTAAAGCCTGCATTTGAATGGGCATGACACTGGCCAACACAAGCCGTGTGATTAAACAAAACACACTGTGCCAAAGGCTATGTTCAGACAGGCAGCAAAAATCCGACGTTTTGGCATATCTGACTCAAATCCGTTTAGTTGTTTTGTTTGTAGACTGAACAGCGAAAACCCCCCCCCACATGAAATCCGATGTTTACAAAGTGATCCAAACCCCATCCAATCCGATTAAAATCAGACTCTTTTGGAATGCGTCCGATCGACGTTTTCCGTCATTCGGGACATAGTGTGTATGTAACGTCACATAAAAGTCTGCAATACAATCTGCAGCTGTGTCCGAATACACCGTATAATGAATGAGTGAATAGATCAGCAGTATTTGCATGAATGTGCCTTGTGATTTCAGCACCGCGGTGAGATGCAGTGATGGACGTGAGCAGAGGCAAAATTTCCAGTTTTCCGTCCTCTCTTTCCGCACTGACAGCTGCTCTCAGATGTTGTATGAGAAAGTCTCTCGGCATCTTGGTGATGCTTACATCATTACTACAGCAACTGATGTAGATGTACCAGATATTGACTTACAAGGCCAAAACAAACATATCAGATTTCACCGAGTCCCAAAGTTTGCCTCCAAAAACCGAATGGGATTTACGTGCAGTGTGAAGAAAACCAAAGCACTCGACGAGATTCAAATCTTTCAGGCAGCTTTCCTATCATGCAGCGAGTGTGGAAACGGGAGACAGAGAAAATTACATTATGAGAATCATTTATTAATAAACACACAGTCATATTGGATACAGCCATCGCACAATCAGTGGAATAATGGGGCGCTGGCAAATGCGGTCGAGCTGTTGTGCAGCGGATGTGCAATGTGACTATCATTCCACTTTTTAGCACAGATACTCAGGCGCCTTGCTGGGGAACAGTCACAGCAGGCAAAATTGGCTGCCTGTCTCCATCACTTTATTGTCTGTGCTCCATCAAAAGATCTCAGTAGGAGCCCAAACACTTCCCGACTAATGATAAAACATCAAGGACAGGATAATGTTTCTGAATGTAGATGCTGGGAGATGCATTGCCTGATGAAAATATTTCAGGGATTTCGTGCACCGTGACCGAATGCAGACGGGTTTTGGAAATGTCATAGTCCCGTGGCTGAAATTGTGCATGCAGGGGACACGGCCAACACAAAGGTCTGAATAGGATGTGGCATGCATAATAGTCAAGCAAACAAGAATTTTCCATGGGCAATTTGCAGGCTGGGTGACTCCTGGCTCGATGTTATGAGCGGCGAGATGTGAATGTGTTTGGACGTGCAATATTTCCATTTGTATGTGAAGGACGGAAATATGAAATTCCAATCACGCTGTGAGAAAATGGACGATACGAGTACTTATCGCGAGCGGGATTGTCCTGACAACACTTGCGAGACGTGTCCTCATAAAACCCATTGGCTCTGTTCCACAGTCTCTCAGCAATGCTGAATGTGTTGAATCTCTGGGTAATGGTCCAGATTTGAGCTGAGCCGGCATGAGTCAGGCCGACCTGCCTTTATTTTGTGTTGTTTATGGTGAAAAATCACACCGAGAGACCTGTTTGCAGGTGAGACCACCTCAATGACTGTGATTCTTATGATGACAGTAACGTTTTACTGATTGAATCAACTCTGATTTTAAAACATATGTACAATTCAGCATGGGAAATGCCAAATTTTTCTACTATATTATATATTTGGTATCCTTTAAGTACTATGAATGAAGGACAATTTGCAGTTATTTGCGTAAATGGAAATTTACCTTCTTAAGACCTTCTTTCTTATTTGGGACACTAAAGAAGATACGCTCACCGGACACTTTATTGCTAGTACTGGGTTGGACCTCCTTTTGCCTTCAGAACTTCACTAATTCTTCATGGCATAGATTCATCAAGGTGCTGAAAGCATTCCTTTCATATTCTGGTTCATATTGACATGATAGAATCACACAGTTACTGCATATTTGTCAGCTGCATATTTTAACAGCTTGTTATCCTGCAGGAAGTAGCCATCACAAGATAAAGGAATGGATATGGTCAGTAACAATACTTAGGTAAGCTATGGCATGAACCACTGATACAAGGCAGGATGGATCCATGCTTTCTTGTTGTTTATGCCTAATTCTGACCCTACCTTCTGATTGTCACAGCAGAAATCAAGACTCATCAGACCAGGCAACCTTTTTTTTCAATCTTCTATTGTTCGATTTTGGTGAGCCCGTGCCAATTGTAGCCTCAGTTTTCTGTTCTTAGCTGACAGGAGTGACACTTGGTATAGTCTTCTGCTCCTCTAGTGTAGTCCATCTGATTCAAGGTTTGATGTTTGTGCTTGATGCTCTTTTGTATACCTCGGTTGTAATGAGTCTGGCATAACCCACAGAACTGCTGCTCACTGGATATTTTCTCTTTTTTGAACCATTCTCTGTAAACCCTAGAAATGGTTGTACATGAAAATCCTAGGATATCAGCAGTTTCTGAAATGCTCAGACCAGCCCACCTGGCACCAACAATCATGCCATAGTCAAAGTCAGCTTTCTTCTCCATTCTGATGCTTGTTTTGAACTTCAGCAGATTCAGCAGATGTCCACATGCCTAAATGCATGGAGTTGCTGCCATGTGATTGCCTGACTAGATAGTTGTGTAGATGGGCAGTTAAACAATTATGAAGTGACCGGTGAGTGTATTTTGAAGAACTGTTTTTCTCGAACAACACTGGACCCCACTGAATTTCATTATCTGGAAAAAAAATGTTTTTGTGCTCCATAGAAGAAAAAGTTTGGAAAGACATGAGAGTGAGTAAAGATACACTGATCACCTGTGTAGGAATAAAGTTAAAACAGAGGTAGAAAATATTACTATTATGAAACATTAAAAAGCTCTCCTTGTGGTCTCGACACTAAAGAAGATACGCTCACCGGACACTTTATTGCTAGTACTGGGTTGGACCTCCTTTTGCCTTCAGAACTTCACTAATTCTTCATGGCATAGATTCATCAAGGTGCTGAAAGCATTCCTTTCATATTCTGGTTCATATTGACATGATAGAATCACACAGTTACTGCATATTTGTCAGCTGCATATTTTAACAGCTTGTTATCCTGCAGGAAGTAGCCATCACAAGATAAAGGAATGGATATGGTCAGTAACAATACTTAGGTAAGCTATGGCATGAACCACTGATACAAGGCAGGATGGATCCATGCTTTCTTGTTGTTTATGCCTAATTCTGACCCTACCTTCTGATTGTCACAGCAGAAATCAAGACTCATCAGACCAGGCAACCTTTTTTTTTCAATCTTCTATTGTTCGATTTTGGTGAGCCCGTGCCAATTGTAGCCTCAGTTTTCTGTTCTTAGCTGACAGGAGTGACACTTGGTATAGTCTTCTGCTCCTCTAGTGTAGTCCATCTGATTCAAGGTTTGATGTTTGTGCTTGATGCTCTTTTGTATACCTCGGTTGTAATGAGTCTGGCATAACCCACAGAACTGCTGCTCACTGGATATTTTCTCTTTTTTGAACCATTCTCTGTAAACCCTAGAAATGGTTGTACATGAAAATCCTAGGATATCAGCAGTTTCTGAAATGCTCAGACCAGCCCACCTGGCACCAACAATCATGCCACAGTCAAAGTCAGCTTTCTTCTCCATTCTGATGCTTGTTTTGAACTTCAGCAGATTCAGCAGATGTCCACATGCCTAAATGCATGGAGTTGCTGCCATGTGATTGCCTGACTAGATAGTTGTGTTGATGGGCAGTTAAACAATTATGAAGTGACCGGTGAGTGTATTTTGAAGAACTGTTTTTCTCGAACAACACTGGACCCCACTGAATTTCATTATCTGGAAAAAAAATGTTTTTGTGCTCCATAGAAGAAAAAGTTTGGAAAGACATGAGAGTGAGTAAAGATACACTGATCACCTGTGTAGGAATAAAGTTAAAACAGAGGTAGAAAATATTACTATTATGAAACATTAAAAAGCTCTCCTTGTGGTCTCCGATCCAGTAAAACATTTGAGTGCATGATAAATTATCTATGCTAATGTATGAAAAGCCTTAAACATATGCAATGGCTCCCTTTATGTGGTGTGTCAATCCTATTGTCAATGTCAAATGTATTATGCTGTCACAGCAGAAATTAAAGCGGTTGAAAGGCTGTCAAATACTGTTAAATATACAGTACATAGTATGCTGTCATACTACGTATTAGCAGTCTTGACAGAAACTTTGGCCTCATATCAAACATTACAGAGTATCTGTAGTCATTCAGAGTCTGAGGCAGTCAAAAACAGATAAGATTGTATTGTCTGAGTCTACATTTGCATTTTAACAAGAGCGAATGTTACATTGGTTTGGCTGAGAGAACATCTCCCAAAGGAGCCTGAATATGGAGGTTAATGCTGGACATGGTCTGTGTCGATACTTATTCTCTCCCAACAGGCCATCGCACAGAACATCAAGTGACTGTAATTGAAACACACAATTCCCACTGGGACAGACGTTGGTTAAAAAGAGCGGTAAATAACAGCACTGCCAACCTAGATGTAGGTGGAACACGTAGGGTGCAGGTTTAAAGGTTTAAACACACACATTAGAGTCTATCAGGGGTGTATGGCAAATGCAAAAATAAAACACCATAACAGCCTGAACTTCAAAGACATCATCTGCTACGAACACGAATATAAATGTAATGTAAGTGAAAAACAGTCATAAATGAGATAAGAAAAATTACTGGAATAAATAAATAATGATTAAGACTAATGATACAATAGCAATACAACTAATAATGCATTGTGATATTATATTACAATATTATTCTAATATTAATATATTAAATGAATATTAAATACCTACTAGTATTATTATGATTGATTTGATATTGATAAGGATGCTGATCTATGAACATATCCTTCTTGTTTGAATCACTTTAAGCATTTCAAATTATAGTCCAGTGACTGGAAATTCAAAACAGGTTAACAGCGCCATTTAAAACTAGAGACAGACAAAAAGCAAACATGCAATTAGCTGGACTAGACTGATTAGCTCCACCAATGAATTAAATGCACTGCCTGAACTACACCTGCAAGCAATATTCCACTGTGAATGCTATACTTACAAAATGCAGAGAGGGTGTTAATATATACACACTAATTAATCTGGATTCCATGATTAGTGGGGGAAATCAATTCTCCTGTGAGCACCAACGTGTATTTAGCTATTTTTGTTCAATTTTAGCATGCTTTAGGTCAACATAAGAAGCCTCAGATTAATTAAAAGCTGTTATTAAGACATCCAAATCTCTACAGCTTTATAAATACTTTCGCTTTGTATATTGTTTTCTGTTAATAAAGAGTAATGAGTCACTGAAGGATTTGCAAGATGTAAACTACATTTACATCAAAGATGAAATAAGACTCAGGGGAAAGTAAGGATAATCAAGGCAAATGTATACAAAATGATACAAAAGAATGGAGCATGAATTCAATGTCAAGGCTGCAGACATTCACAATGACATT